GTGGATAGACACTACCATATCAGGAAATAGGAATTCCAATTCCTGTAAGTGTTATAAATCTATAGATATTGTGAAATAAACTGAGTATGGATTCCTTCTAAGATTTTCACTCTTTGCCAGCCTGTAATCTTATCATTTTTTTGCTCAAAGCAATTCCACTACATTTGAAGACTTCCCTTTATTATAATCTTTCTAAGGCATTCAACTTAGTTTTAATGGGGAAAGTACCTTTTCTTCAGTTTACATGATATTTAAATAAATTGTGTAGACACAACAGACACTATACCATGATGTAAAACCATGAGTTTTGGTACAAATGAGTGACCCTTAGCAAGCATACACCTCAAGAGGTGGAAGCAGAAGAATAAAAGCATTCCAGAAAATACACTACAAGAAATTGTAGTGTGCTATATCAGTATGCATGATTTAAGAAGGGAAGAACAGTGGCAAAGAAAAGTTGATTATGTCGATAATGCTTTACAGTATTTATGCGCTTTTGGAATCTGAAACCACACTCTGCTTTTTTTCCCCTTAGGGCAAGAAATGAAAAATATTTTTTAAGAGATGTGCAAGGGAACAGGGAGCATGTCAGTTCCCCCTTATCCCATGAATGTGGGACAGGATGCACACGCGCATGTGTTTGTGTGCGTGTCAGGGTAAGTGGAATTCTAAGCCACAGAGGGGGATGAGGAGTGACTGTCATCAGACAGAATTTCACCAGGCACCTACACTTTAGCTACACCAAAAAAGAAGTGGGAATAATTATAAGAGGAAATAGTAAACTCTACCCACAGTACATGCTATGGCTTGCGTCTAGGTGTCCCCTCATATGGACAGAGGTGGGGCTTTTTAGAGGTCACTGATCTAGAATGTGATGTTGGAATCCATTCATGGTGCAATGCTAGGCTCAAAGGTACTAGGATTAAGGACACGAATGCTACTACCTTAAATAGTCTGGATAAGAGGGGAAGAAAGATGCTGTTAAGGTCATCGTGTTGCTTTTGCTACCTTCTTCAAGCCATGAACTGTTTCTCCTCAGTGATGCCCCCTGCCATGTGCCACCCTGCCTTGGAGCAAGCCAATTATGGACTGAAACCTCTACAAACTGTGAGCTAAATAACCCTTTTCTCCCTTAACTTTGGGCATCAGGTATTTTGTCTCAGCAATGAAAGAAATGTAACTAAGACAGAATTTGGTACCAAAAAAGTGGGGCCATTGCTGTGACTGTACCTGACCATGTGGCTCAGGAGCCTTTGGGAATGGCTTGTTGGAAAGGGAAGAGTTAGGAAAGGTTTGAAGATGCCTGCTGAAAAAGTTGAGCTGGAACACCTTAGGCTGTACTTGATGGGAGATTCTGGTCAGAGCTCAGAATACCAGAAGGCTGATAGAAATCCTGCCGGTAAAGACTGAAACCTTGGGAAGTTTCTGCTGAAAAGGACTGCATTGGCTGTTGGACTCCAGGCCATGTGTGTTACGGCTTGGCAGAAACTTTGTCTGCATTTCGCTTATGTCCCAAGACTTTGCCTGAGACTAAGATTAAGGATTGCGGACTAATTAATCTTGCAGATGAAATTTCAAGGCATCCTAATGTTGAGATGGTGGCATGGCTACTGTAGGGAACTTTTAGCCAGATTTATGTTGAAAATCAAGAGTAAAGAGCCCAGCAAAATGATTCAAAATGTTGTGAGTTTGGCCAGAAAGGAAGCTCCAGTAAGGCTGTGGACTGCAAAGATAGAGCAGAGGAGATCTTGACTGCTGAGAAGGAACAGAAAAATAGAAAAGATAGTTTCAAAGTATCACAAGCAGCAGCAGGACTCTAGCCTTTGCAGCCTCAAAATTGCAAAAGTGAGGGGATTTGACTCAGTGGTTCCGCTGCCTTGCAAGCATAAGGACCTGAGTTCAATCCCTGGTCCCCCCCACCCCCAAAAAATTGCAAAAGTGAAAGATTGCTTTGAGAAGAAAGGCCCAGAACACCATGTTCCAGAATGGCAGCAGCTTAGAGAATTTGCTCCTCCGGATTGGGTTCAGAGTGCTCAGTGATCCAGGCACTTGACCTTTACAGCCAAAAGAGAAAGAAGCCTGGCTACTGCTCCAGCTGGCAGCAGACCTTAGGACCATCCTGTGGTGCTGGTTTTAGTTGCATGCAGAATACAAGAGTTGTGGAGTCAGGAAGGCTTCCACCCAGATCTCAGAAGAAGGCCTGGGAGGCCAGGCAGTGGCCCCTGAGAGGGCAGTGTGTGAAGCTGTGAGTGTGAAGCTGAAGGTGCAGGGGAGACCCCAGAAGTTTGGAGAAGCCTGGAGCATGGATCATCTGAGGAAAATTGCAAGGAGGGAGCACAGCTGGCCCAAGAGAGAAGCCACAGGAGCTATAACCACCTGCAGTGCTATAGGGGCAGAGCCACTCAAGCCCTTTGGAGTTTACAACTTACCACAGATTGCTGGCGATGCTAAAAGTGGAACTGTGGGATTTAATGTCTGCCCTGCTAGATTTGGACTTGCTTGGTCACATTCCTTTACATCCCCCGTTTGTAACTTTTGGAATGAAAATGTTTATCTTGTTCCATTGAATATTGAAACCTTTCCTTTCTTAGCATTGGGCATTGGGTATTTTGTCTCAGCAATGAGAGAAAAGTAACTAAAACAGTACATTTATGGGTATAAAGTTTAAAAGGGCAAAGAAGATAAAGTTGGGAGAGAGTATAAGAGAGAGGAAAAAGAAAGGATTTGGGCTTGTGGTCAAATTGTGAACAAAAGGGACAAAGAAAACAGAAATGTTATGGTTGGGATCTCAACCCCTAAAGGCCATGGGTCCAAGGCTTGGTCCTCAGCCTGTGGTGCTAATGGGAGGTGGTAGAACCTCCAGGAGGTAGGGCCCAGTGGAAGAAGCTAGGTCACTGGAGGTGTGTTCTTAAAGAGGATGATGGAACACCAGCCCTTCCTCTCTTCCTCTCAGCTGCCATGAAGTGAGTAGCCTTGATCTGTCCCAAACTCCCTGCCATGATGTTCTGCCTCACCACAGACCCAAAGTGATAGGGCTGAGCAATGACAGACTGAAATCTCTCAAACTGTGAGCCAAAATAAACTCCGTTTCCTTTTAAGTTGCTTATCTCAGGTACTTTGTCACAGCAATGGAAAGTTGACTAACACAAGGAGTCAAAGAGGTAGACTACAAAACTAATCTTCCAGGCTTTTTTCACAAATGAATACTGAATTATTCTGCATATTCTTCAACTAGTTTTGGTCCAAAACTTCTGTCACAAAGTGTAGTGGTACAAAAGTGAAGCAGAGTAATTCTAGACCTTTGGGAAAAAATCCAGTGTTCAAATTTTCAATTCTTAAAATTTCTGAAAGTACCATTTTACAGAGGAAGAAAATGAAGTCCAAAGATATTATATGACTTGTTTAAGGTTACTTAGCTAACCCACATGCCCATCAGCTGATGAATAAACAACATGTTTATACATATGGAATATTTTCAATTTATGAAGAAGATTGTAGTACTGATAAGTGCTACCAAATGGATGGCACTTGAGAACATCATGCTAAGTGAAAACTCAGTCATTGAAGACTACATTGTACAATTGTATTTATATGAAATGTCTAGAATAGGGGAGTATTTACAGTGACACATTAGTGGTTGCCTAGGGATAGGGAGAGGGGTAATAGGGAGTGATTGCTGGTGAGTACAGGACTCCTTTTGGGGATGAAGAAAATGTTCTAAAATTGGATTGTGGTGATGATAGCACAATTCTGTGAATATGTTAATAACTGAGTTGTATGTGCACTTTAAATTGGTGAACTGTATGGTATGAGAATTATATCTATATAAAGTTGTTTTTAAAGCAAATTAGCACTGGGTAAGGTGGTGCACGACTATAATCTTGGCACTTGGGAGGCTGAAGCAGGAAGATGGCCACAAGTTTAAGTCCAGCCTGGGCTCCATAGTGAGTTCAAGGCCAAGGCCA